CAAATGTTCTTCGTAGAGATCCCACTGATGTTGTCAAAAGGAAGGATGTCTGATAGCTTATCACCCCGTAAGTTCGTGAATGCTGTGTGACTATGCAGTCTTCTTTGTCTCCAACTAGGGAGTCAGAGGAGGCTCCTATATTGACTTCTGAAGGCACTGAAAAGCTCCTTAAAGCTCCTTGATTCTGCCAGTCCCTCATGGCTTAAAAGCCATACAAAATCAAGTGCATCTTCATCTTCCCCTGAATCCAAGCTACGCCCAGCTCGCTCTCGAAGGCCCTCAACGGACTGTCGGTGTAGTTGGCCCAGTCGCCCCATGCGGAGCCAGTCAAGCCATCCTGGAAGAACCTGGGAGAAACATTGCATAGATTTGATGAATGTAACTACTATAGATCATATACATGTCAGTAAATCAATGGGCAAGTAAAGCGTCAAGCAACATGCCCATGATGGCCATCATCGCCAACCGTCCGTTTGCGAGTTCAGCACTGAGCTGCCTGTTCCTTGCAAAGTGTCTAACTCAGACCAGCATGCAGCGCGCAAATCTGTGTGCAGTCCTCTTGGCAGGATCCTGGATGGAATTGCCAAATCCAACGTTGCCGAGGCCAAAGTTGCCCTTGCCGTAGTTGCCTTGTAAAGCAAGGAAAATCAAGAATCAACAAGCCCTCCGACTCTCTCCAATTCCGGCCTGGCTCAGATGACTTCTTGTTCACAACCAACTCAAGGAAGCCGGCGAAGGCAAGCATCTGAGCCCAGCCCTCCTTGGGCACCACGGAGAGTGCCTCCACAAAAAATGTCTCAGATTTTCAGATCTCCAAAGTAAGACTGCATTACACTCTCCATCTCTATCTCCATCTCTATCTCTAGAGAGAGAGAGAGAGCTCTTCATTATTCATTCTTATTCTACGTATGACTTCCTTTACTGCATTAGCTCAACAAGCCTTCAAGCCGTTTGGCACATCGGCGAATTTCAGGTCCATGGATGGGGACAGGTAGCCATCGAACTTGTAGTACTCCGGCACAATGTAGCCTTTCAAATTGTGGAGCTGGGCAACATAAGCCAATATGGCTAACATCTAACACAGTGTCCTTGGTCAAAACGTGTGTGTACCCAAGCAAGACATTCTGAGCTTTATGCCCATGGTGGCGAACATAGCCACACGGCCGTGCTTGATCTCAGTCTCACGGCGCCTCAAACAACACAAAGGCCGGCTGCAGTCTGTACCAGCCAAAGTTGCTGCACTGCAGGGCCGGGCCTCTTGAACACCTCCACATCCTTGTCCTTGGCAAGTCCCAGGGGGTCCCAGAAGCCAAGAGGCGCCTGGTCGCCAATGAGACCCTCA